CGATCCTAGGATCCTCATCCTTCAGTCGACTGAGACCCCCAAATTTTCCGTGCTTTCCGGAGGCACAACATACCTATAAATCTCCTCACCCCTTATCTCACTCTTTTCTCACAAAATACCTGCCACGCTTTCACACACCTGTCACTCACACTCTTACCGGAATAGGAAGCCGCTAAAAACGTATATGTATTAATATATGCTAAAGACGTATACATATATGTCTTTAGCATATATTAATTAACGTATACTAAATTCATTTCTATAATTTTTACTTAGTTTTATGATTGAACATGACACCATCGAATCCCAGTGGACCAACAACTAAATGTAGTAATCAAACATATTTAATTATTATATTACAGATTTAATACATTAATGTTATTATTTAAAAAAATCCAATGTTACTCAATTGTTGAATCTGTTTAATATGACAATTATTACATGTTACATTATATACATATATTTCATGTGTATATCAATATGTTCAGCTAGCCACATGTCATTCGAATATCGAGCCATGTACAATAATATGTTTACAGATTTTTGTTGAACGTATTGCAGTAAAAAAATTAGTCTATACTTTGATTTATATTTTATTTTATCCACTAATGTGTTAAAATAACAATACAAAAACAGCGCTAAGTATTTTTTGTACATCACATTTTTTTATTTTTATTTTTTAATTTAAATTTAAAATTTTTATTTAACTTTAAATTTTTTAATTTTCTAAATTTATTTTTTGTGCCTTATATTACTTTTTTGAATATACGTTTAAATATATTTGAATTAAATAATTATTTATAGATAAATAATTTATTTTATTATATATATCTATTTATCTAAATATTTTATAAAAATATATAATAACTTTACAATGTATATACATTCCAGTTTAAATTAATTACATAATTATTCATGTTATTTAAATTTAAAATAAATAAATATATATATAATATTTTTTACTAAATTTATTTTTCATTAATATATTATAAACGTTTTAAAATAAAGCAATAATTTACATTTGTATCATTATATAGGATTTATCTAAATATTATATATTATCTATAATATTTTACGGTTCAATATAAAGAATATAAATGCTGCCTTCTGAAACGAAACGAAAAAATTAATTAAACAGAATGTATCAATTTGAATCCAAAGTTCACATTAAATTAATCGAAACTTATATGGAGAAATAAGCGAGAAAAAATAGGTAAAGTTGAATCGAACGCGTCTTTACTTTGACTGCTTGCAACTACTTTTTGATGCTTAGAAGGAAAGCATTTTATTAATTATATTATGTTGTCACTTACTTAGTGCAACTTTTTGATTCACACTTTTTGATGCTAATATTTTAACCTTTTTTCTCGTATTATTAATATAATTATTTAGCGCAATTTTATGATTTCACTATTTTTTGATGCTAATATTTTAATTTTTTTCTAGTATTATTAACAAAAATATAATATAATTTATAAATATAATTTTTGAGAAAATATTTGATAATGATTAATTTTGGCAAAGAATTATTTTGGCTATAAACATAACTTTTGAGAAGATAATATATTTGATTACGACTTTTTGTAAAGAATTATTGTTGCTTGCAAAAGATATAACTTAGCACTTTTTTTACATCTGTGATGTCTTTTAGTGGGATATGAATTATTTGAATAAGTCTCAACAAAAATTAATAAGTTTATTTTTTATGTTAATATATATATATGTATATATATATATATATATATAAAAAAAAATATATATATATATATATGTATATAGTATTTAACATAAAAAATAAATATTAATAAGAATATTTGTAAGTCAGCTCTCCAATTGTTTTAAAAACTCCATATTCATCTCGACTAAGAGCCAAACGCGATGTTATTGCGACAAATTAAGATAAGAAAATTTTTGGAAACTGAGGAATTTGAATCCTATGGTTGGGATCTCAGAAATTCCCCTTGTTCCTTCTCTAAACATCCCCTGTAAGAAAAAGACGAGAAAAATATTGGTCCGAAAGTCGGCTGAATCGGGAATCGAACCCGAGACCTTCCGCTTGCCGGGCGACTGCTCTTCCAACTGAGCTATTCAGACACTTACAAATCAATATTTCTCTCAATGTTTATATTTTCTCATTATATGGTCTCGGGTTCGATTCCCGATTCAGCCGACTTTCGGACCAATATTTTTCTCGTCTTTTTCTTACAGGGGACGTTTAGAGAAGGAACAAGGGGAATTTCTGAGATCCCAACCATAGGATTCAAATTCCTCAGTTTCCAAAAATTTTCTTATCTTAATTTGTCGCAATAACATCGCGTTTGGCTCTTAGTCGAGATGAATATGAAGTTTTTATAAAAAATAAACTTATTAATTTTTGTTGAGACTTATTCAAATAATTTATACATATGTAATTATTATTATGTTGCCACATAATAAAATTTCGATGAATTAAACTTATATTACGACATAATAATAATTCCAAATTTTTATTATGTTTCGACGTAATTTTATACAATACTCCTCTCAACCTTTTGTCGCGCGTCTAACAGTGGTATAACATCACGCTGTCTGTTATCGCTGGCATCGCCGCGCGTCTAGCAACCACGTTACGATGGGCTGTCCCAAGGTCCGTAGATGAACGACATGAGGGGAAGGAAGGTCATCGCATTCATATTTTAGCATTGGGCCTCAAAATGGCACCGCCAATCCAGCCACCGGACAGCTGTTCAACTACAGTTTTTTTTCACTAACACTTTGTACGACACACACCGACATACAACACACATAACTAGTCGCGTCCAATATGGTCGCGAGGTAACATATATGCGAAGTTACGCATTACTTTTTTTGGAAATATTACGCATACACTTACAACTCATATTTACACTGCACTTATTACACACGTCTACACTTACACCGAGACTACTCAGCTCGGCGGGGTTACCGTTATCGCACTCTATTGAATGTACACGCTATTGACTTGTGACCGGCAAGAAGAGACCAAGTCTGGTTTGCTGAGGCCATTAAACATTGAAGAAGAAGAAGAACACACATAACTTCGTGGCCCCAAAATGGCGGCCCATGCGAGGACCTTCCTTCCCCTCCCGTTCATCTACGGACCTTGGGCTGTCCCTTCTTCCCGCGATTTCTTCTCACCGCTTGTTTAGCAATCGCGTTACAGTGGGCTGTTCCTTTTCTCCGCGCTACAACATGCGTGGATTAGCCAAACTTTATTAATTAATTTCTCCTTTATTATGGAAAAAATGGCAAAACGGTAAAGGACTTTTTTACTCAGTTTGACCTGTTCTACTTGCACCTGACAGATGGAACGCAAGTTATAGAACACCCTGTGTATATATACAGGGTGTCCGGTGACTCGCGTTTAACCTCTCATAGGCAGGTAGAGCAAAACAAACCGAGTAGAAAAGTCTTCTACCATTTTGCGAAATTCTTAATAATTAATGAGAAATTAATTAAGGTAAAAAATTTGATCGCCAGTAAAATTTAAAAACAAGGTTAACAAATATTAAAACGATCAACTGGCTACGGATGTTAAACTTTATTCAATCGCTACGTTTAGACTACTGTATTGGGTCCTCTTCAGACTACAATAGATAAATATGAGCATACAAATTAATTAAAAGATAACAAATTAAACCATATGAAATAAATTAACATTAAATTTATGTATAATATAAATTAATTAATTAAGATCGACCAATTCGCGCGGCTATAGGGACCGTGCAAAGCGTTTGCAGTGCCATCTGATGGCCAATGTCAACATTTATGTAATGACATTTACTGCACGCATATGTCAAAGTTGTTTATTGATATTAAATTGATAAAATAATAAATAATGTCAAGAAGAAATTGTTGCATTCGAAGCTGTTCGAATACACCAAGAAGTGTTCGGGATGTTAATCCATCAATTAAATTTTATTCTTTTCCGGAAAGCACAGTACATGCCCCATGGAAAAGTGTTAAGCGAAATAAATGGATTAATGCTCTTAAAAATTACGTGTAAGTATTCTGTTAATAATAATGATGATGGTTTTAAATTTAGATAGTACAACATTGATAGATTATGGATCAAATATCAATATAACTTTGAAACATATATACAATTACACTTAATCATAACCTAACCTAACCTTAATATATAATATTGTGGCGTCTCAACACCACACGTAGGCGCCACTTAATAGCGCTCCTGCGGCATATCCACACCGCACACACATACGAGCGCCTCGGGGAAAACACCTGAGGCACGGCAACCCTCCGGATTTTTCCGAGTGCTCCTACCCGTCACGCGTGCTTTCGCCGCTACGCGGCTACGTCTCCCGTGAGTGAGATACACGCGGACAGGTATATAAGGCTGAGCGCGACAAACGAGAAATCAATCGCGGCTCGCGCTGTGTAGACCGTCAGGTTGAATTTTGAGACAGCCAGCGAGTTAGAAATTTTTTTTGCACTCGTCCGCTCCGAGTTTTGGAGCGAGACGAGAACAGGTACATCTCCTGGGGCTATCCATGTCCTCTGCCGCCGCCCGCTTCATCTGGGCAACATTTGCGGCAAGACATCCCAGGGACGCCGCCGAGACCAAAGCCGACAGGTCCACTGAAGTCTACAAGAGTAGGTCCTGCAACCCTGTCGAGCTGCCACCACTACGCCGCCACAGATATGGACCTGCTGACAACGTGGGACATCCGGGTCTGGCGTTACACCTCACCGACTGGACTCTGGCACGTCCCACAGCTCCTGTCACCGCTGCCACCGTCACCACAGGCGCACGCAGGCATCACAGCGTGCATATAGACGTCGCGGCCCAGCAGAGTACATCGCAGCACACAGTACCGTCCCGACCAGACCAGCTAAAGAATGCAGTACAGAGCTGCGACGGTCGACCAGGCTACACAATCCAATCTTTCTGACTGGGAGACGCCGACGACCTTGAGAGCGTATACCGGTGCATCACCGCGGCCAGTCTCGAGGGCAGACGTTCACACATCGCCATCCGACGGAGAGACTTCCGAATACACTCCGCCTGGACTCCACGTCACACCACGACAGAGCCTGTCATCGAGTGGAGAGAGCGACTTCAACTTTAGCAGCCGGCAATCTACGGCCCTTTTTAGGGCCAACCAATTGTTGTCATCGGCCCTTTTCAGGACCACACAAAGACACAAAGATAAACCTGTACATAATTGTATATTGTGTACATACTAATAAATACACGAAAAGACAAAGTCAACATACTCGACTCGTGATTGACGGAACCCTCTCTCAAGCGAACCACCTCTCCTTTGCGGCACTTCTGCGATACAGTTAATAAGCACACGTTATACGTACAACAAGCACTACAATATATTATTGATTTCAGTAAAAAACTGACAGATTGGGAACCAACGAAAAATACAAAAATATGTAGTGCTCATTTTGTTAATAATACGAAATCGGAACATTCATTACATCCATCTTACAATTTTTCCTGGTAAAGTAAATATAAAAAAATCAGTCCAATCTGTACAAAGACTTGAATGACAGAAACGTCGTTCAAACCGAGTTATTGAGCAAGAAATAATTAATAATAATTACATTGAAATGGAACAATATAATTGTGAAGAAATTAATGTTATAAATTATCGCAGTATAACCTGCCAGACCGATAAGAGAATGAATGAAACTTCAAGTGAACTAATATTTTTTTTGTAATTTGAATCATCATGATGGGATAAGTACTGCAGAAGTACAGGTGAACATTGCAGTGAAGAAAACGGCAAACAAGATGTGTGATGTCAATTTACCGATACTGAAGACAAATTCTCAAGATTTTGGCTGTAATCCTATTGATCAAAATCCTACAAAATTATACTATCTAGGTTTCCATGGAATAAGTTCGATCATAAGTGACGAGGATTTAAGCAGCTTAATTGGTGTATATAATAATTATAATATACTATAAAGTCACAAAATATAATTAATACAATTATATAGCAAAATTACCTATAATTATGATACATGGTGCTACAACTGGTGGTTCTATGTTCTCCAATAGTGTTGCTTCTTGTTTAATAAATTAATTATAGTTAATAAAATGTAAGTTTGAGACATTCATAAAAAAAATAAAACATATTTAAAAAATATTTACAGGATATGTTTTAAATAATTTTTGCAAAACATGAAATGTTATCAGATTTTAATGCTTACCACCATCGCTTAAAGTTCACTTATGAAATCGAAAAAGACAATTGTATAAACTTTCTAGACACTACTATAATTAGGTGCAAGGATGGTAGATTGATTACTAATTAGTATAGAAAGTCAACCTTTTCGGGAAGATATCTCAATTTTCTTTCCGCGCACCCCCTCAAATATAAAATTAATTGCATTAACAACTTAGTTGACAGAGCCATTTTATTGGCTGATAAAAAAATTTCATAATGACAACATTCAAATTATTAATGAAATTTTAACCAATAATAGTTTTCCATTTCATGTAATTAAAAAATATATTAAAAAAAGATTACACGTAATCAATTATATTAATAATTTTGACACTAATAGTAATTATGATATCAATAGAGATGAAAATAATAATAAAAAATTTGACGCGTTTTTACATATTATAAAGATAAAGAATATATCGCTGTGAAGAGCCAAATATCATACTTAGCAATTCGCTAAAACGAGGAACAATTCCTCTTCCTCTTTACCCCCTAAATTTGATGTAGACGAGAAAAATATATTCTCTATCCTTGTTATTTACGATAAGAGCGTTCTAGCCATATTATTGTTATTCACATATTATGTTACCGTACATCAAAAATCTTACTGATAACATTTCTCTTAGAAAAAAAGAACTGAAAACAATTTGTAAAATTCAAAAAAAATTAAACACATTAATTAAACGTGGTAAAGATGAATTATCGAAGATAAATAAAACTAACGTTATGTATAAATTAGAATTTAATGAGTGTAACGCTTCGTACATAGAACATACAAAAAGACATTTGATTACCAGAATAAAAGAACATCAGAATAATATAAAAAAACGTGAGACAAGCCATTCAGTGATCAGCAAGCATAGAATTGAATACAATCATGACTTCCGATGGCTTGAACCATATATTTTACATACAGAGACAAATAAACAAAAAAAAAGATCGCCGAAATGTTCTAAAATTAATTTACAAATAGACACGGATAACCTTAGTCCTATTTAGGACAACATTATTCAAATGATTTAAAAATATGACACTTTGTCTTCAGTAGCTAACAGATTGTTAACATGACAGGTGAATTTTACATCTCCATTTTTGATTAATGTAATTGCGAAATAAGAATAAGTATGTACGATATATCGATTTTTTGTTAATGTAAAGATAATTTTGCTTGCCAACTTATGTGTTTTTGTATTTTAGCACTTGATAAAGACCACAATGTTAGTCGAAATGTAATGTTCATTTACTTTTAATAAAGGATCTATCTACTTTTAAGAAACGAATTTATCATAGATATGTAGATGACATTTTTATGGTTGCTCCAAAAAATGAAATAGACAATATTCTAAATAAATTCAACAGATATTATGACCGCTTACAATTCACGGTCGAATACGAAGTAAACAGAAGCATCAACTCTTTGGATTTAAAAATTATTGTTATAGATAATATCCTATACATAGAGATTGGTTCCAAAAAATAACGTGCTCAGGTAGAATTTTGTCTTTTTTATCCAACTATCCTTTATGTCACAAAATTGGAACTATCTATAATCTTATAGATAGAACAATGTTACTGTCTCACCCTAGATATCACAAAAAAAATTTCGAATTGTGCATTAACATATTGTTGGACAGCAGATACCCTCTACATTTGATATTCAAAGAAAGTAATCATAGAATAAAAACTATAATGAATAATAAATTAAACAAGAAAACTAACAATGATAAGGATGAGAAAAAGTTTTTTGTTATTCCTTACATTAATAAAATCTCAGAATCAGTGGCATCAACAATAAAAAAATCAGAATTTACAGAGGGTTACCGTTGTCTAAACAATCTCAATAAATTTATCAAGCCTCAAAAAGACAAAAACAATTATAACAACAATAACAATGTCATCTATAAAATCAATTGCAAGGAATGTGAGGCCTCCTATGTAGGGCAAACTAAGAAACAATTACGCACTAGATTGAAAGAACATGCAAATAATGTTAAATTGGATTCGTCCAAACATTCGGTGATTTTTGAGCACATTGTGAATCAACAACATAATTTTGATTGGGATAATGTCAGAATTTTAGACACTGAATATAATTACCCAGATAGCCAGTAATTATTATGACATTATTTTGATGTCAAAATGCATTATTTTGATGGCAAATGATGCATTTTGACATCAAAATGATGTCATAATAATTACTGTGGCTATTTGGGTATCATAAGAGGTTGATTTCTGAGATGATACATATCAAGGAACAGAAACATAGTATTAACAATATTACAGACACCGAATTGTTGGACGACTCTTATTTTGACATTTTGGATGAATTAGCGAATATGTGAAATGTTTACAAAGTGTTTGTTTCGTTTAGTTTAATAAATAGTTTTTTAACCTTTCCATTTGACATACAGAGACAGTCGAGTTTTAGTCAGTATACATATTGGAGGCCTTCCACATCACGTTAATTACACAGAATTGTAAGTTTTTAATTTTTAATTTTACAGTTATATTGAAAGTAAAGAATTTCTTGTTTTTTTATAATAGTACAGCGGATTCACGATGGGAGACGGATTGATAAGGACATATCCAAATTATTGATCGTTCGCTGACCAACGAATAATGATCATATTGATGGAGTGTACTGTGAAAATTTGGTTTCTCCGTGAAACACTGCTTACTATTGAAACTGCTTAAATCGGCGAATGTGATGAGCTTCTAATTTGAATCGGATAACACCGTAATAATTATATGTAATTCATTATTATCATTTAACATGCGTCGATTAGTTTATTGCTTTACTTGTAATTATAGAATATTATAAATGACAATTAATTTAAGATTATTGAAGAAGGCTTAGTATAGTTCAAAACGTTTAATTTTAGAAGTTTACGACTAATGAATTAGATGTATAATTTTATATTAAAATGTAATTTGTATCTTCTTATGTTTTAAAATTGTCACTGGCAATTAACAATTATTTGTGAAAATATCTATTTCTTTTTAAAGAATTGACCATGTAGTTTTAACATCTTCAAGTAAGTATTTTGTAGATATCATTAAGAAACAATCTTTGCGCAGGATATGTAGCTTCAAGATACGAATTAATTTTATGTTGAATCTTAAGATCGCTTGATAAACTATTTTGACGTAGAAAGAAGAGGTGTCAATAAGGCCGTTTTTTGGCCCACATCAGAACCGTTCCAAACTGTGGTATTTTCTTCCTGCCGATGTAGCTTACAACCTCCTAGAACCGTTTGCTGTCTGAGCAATTAGAGGCTGAGAATGAGTAACTTGAAATCTCAAAAATCAATGGAGTTTTTCACATAGTTGTAGTGCTGGTCTTATTTCAGTATGTCATTGTTGAGCTTTCATCTATATTTTCACTATATTTTCTCAAAAACTACTAGAGTATGTACTGCTTTAAATACAAAAGAAAGCTTATCTGATCTTTATGCATTCTTTATGCATATATATTGTACTGAATATAAACAATGATGCAATTATATTAATAATGTGTCCAGTCACCATCGGCGTCGATAATTGCCTGGCATCTCCGAGGCATGCTTTCGACTAATTTAATTGCATATTCTAGTGGCAACGATCAAATTTCGCAAGATAACTGCTTGGAAGTGTATGTACGTTTACTACGAAGCTTATGCTTAATATATGCCCACACATTTTTGATGGGGTTTGCATCGGGCGACTGTGACGGCCAATCCATTGATATTCTCATGCGCCCAAGCGAGTCGATTCGTAACATGTTTTTCAGTCAACAAAGGCTTTTTCATTGTGGGGCGAAATTTCAGGTTATGAGCACGGAGATGAGTTTGGATAGTTTCGTGCGATATATCTAAACCTTTCGACTTTAATTTTGCCTGTCCTTGTCGCAGTGTTAAAGAAGGATTTCGCAAAAACAGATTCACTATTTTTTTTTCGTCTTTTTGTCCACTTTGCCTATTGAGCCACGTTCTGGTAAATCATCGACATTTTTTGCCACTTTATATTGCTGTATCCACTTCTGTACAAATGTTTTCGACTTTCTCATGTATTTAGCAGCCGCTGATTGTGACATTTTTGGACCTTTCGGATGGGTACACAGGAACACAGCCTCGTAGCGCGACGCGTACTTAGCACTCATGACGCTTATCGTGTTTCTCTTTCAAAGAATCAAAGACAACTGAATATTTTTTGACAATGCATTAAGGGTAAAACTTCCCTTTATAGTCTCACGAAGGATTTAGAGCGAAATCTTTTATTACCTGTCAATAAAATCGACCACGCTCTTACTTGACTGACTGTATATACTATATGATATCTTATTATAAAGCAATTAATACACATTTACAATGAAAAGTCAGCTAGTTGAATATTTTTTAACACAGTGCACATATATTATAATCCGCAGTGAGTTGATTATTTTGATGAGCTGTTTATTTGAAAGTTGAGAACATTGCCATGTCTGTTTTAAAAATCAAATATCGAATATTTTTAGATTAATAATTAAGAATAAATATATATATTAAAGGAATAAAATGTAAAAATATGAAAAAAATTTATATAGATAACACAGATTTATTAAAATTATTATAAGATTTTTTCTCATTTTATTAAAAAATTTCAACATAAAGAATTAATAAATGGCAATGAATTTGAAATTATTTGATATGAGATTGTCTGTAAATGCATTTTTTATGCAACCATTAATACGAACAATGATACTTGTGTTGAAAATGCGGATATCAACGACAAGTTTTATCATGCTATTTTTCACCTCTCTAATTGTATTTATATACTCGGTTGCCCCGGTATTTATTAACGTAATGGCATTACTATCAATATCTTTTAACGACAATTTAGTTCGAGCAAGATTCATCGCGATGCAGCTCTGCATCTTGATATAGTTCGAAGAGTAACATTTCGGAATGATAGCGTTTAACTTGGTCAGCAACGTCTTTATTACCTGAAAGATATTATAAAAAAATGATTTCTCTATCATATTTATTATAACGTAATTATACAGGTCATATTGTTCTCTGTGTAAAATACATGCAAGCAACTAAAGTTAATTTATTAACATTAAAAGTATAATTTTTATCAGTTTGTAACGAAGCACCTTTCCCGACGCCACGGATCGGCTCGTCGGTGCCAGGATTCGGGAAGAGGGGCGACTCAGATTTGCAATAACACACGGTTGTTCTGATAAAAGCAGAGTTTATTCAAGCCACCTTTCAATGGTTGACTTGCTATTCAGTCCACAAGTACAGAGAATATTAAGACGGACGAAACGCGACCAGATTACACGGACGCGGACACGACTTATGGCTATAATTATCACGGACGAGACACGACCAAGTTATGCGGACGCGGACACGACTTATTGCTAGTATTGACAGATAGAAATATTACGGACGAGACGCGACCAGATTATACGGACGCGGACACGACTTATGGCTATAATTATCACAGACGAGACACGACCAAGTTATGCGGACGCGGACACGACTTATAACTAAAGTTTCCAACGCGGCCACGCGTACGGGCGCCCTGAGAAGGGCGAACTCCGTCGAGCGCCGGTGACTTCCGGGTAGGACCCGGTGATCGAGAACTCTCGGCCTACTCGACGAGAACGCTCGTCGGCCGGGGGACTTACGGACAGGACCCGGTGACCGAGAACGCTCGGCCTGCACGACGAGAACGCTCGTCGGCCGGGGTGACTTGGAGTGTCGGAGTTGAGGAGTGATCCCTGAGTACGCTCGAGGGACCAGGACGGGACTGGTGCCGAAGCCTCGGCTGCGCCGCTCTTTATACCCGGCGGGCCACCCCACTCTAAGACTCGCTTGGAGGGGGTCGAGTGACGGTTGGGGGCGAAAAGGCGGATTCCCAACGTGTTCTTGTAATGGCCCCGAAAGGGGCCGTTTACATGAGCGCGGATGGCTAGTGACGGCTAATCGGGTCGTCACAAGTTGATTGAAATTAATTAAAATTAATAAAATCAATATTTCACTATAATTCTAAATATATACGTTTACGTATTAAAATAAATAGTTACCTTAATATTGTTTGCCACGTTCTTTAATGGGGCTTCCATAGTCTTATTTCCATATTGGATGTACGTCTCCAATTCAGCAATTGTATTGTCTTTCCTCGTTTCCAAATTATGTTTTGCATAATTATAACATTCATTAATTTTTTTACCTTCTTTTTTCGCCTTCTCGATAGATAACTGAAAAGATAATAAATATGCAAATGTATTTTTGTTGTCATATGTGAATAATTGAACATATTTTTCATAAAAATCTATTCTAAAAATAAATGCAAGTTTTCAATGTTTCATTATAATTTAAAACATTTATATTTTATGATATAACACATGCATTTGTCTTCTCATTATCTAGACAAAATATGCACCTTGATATTCTCGAATGTTGAATTGAGAATATTATTAACTTTAAACAAAGTCCGAGTCCTCAGATCATTGAGTTTGACTTGTAGAATCTGCTTTATTTGCTTTTTTGAAAAGTGAAATATCCTTAAGAATAGCTTCGATATTTTTTTGTAAATATTCACCCATTCTTCAAAGTTCACCAAGGGTTTCGTCACATCTTGCTCCGACGTCTTGAAGATGCGAGATAAAAGTTTCATTATTAAAATATCATGTAAAAATAATAATTTGACTTTTCTAAAGATATTGCATAAAGAATTTAAATTTAAAAATAAATTTTAAACAATTTTTATAAATAGGTCAAATTAAAGCTACAAAATTGATTTTTATATGTGATATTTCTATTAATACATCATAATTTCTGAAAAAGATTTTTAGTTTACTAATTAAACATGGCAATTTTTTTTTATTTGATTTGTCTTATTTTAAAATGATTGAATTAAATTATTTGTTTCTTTTTTTAGTCAAAAGAAATGATTACACTGAATTTACAGAACTTACATAAACTGCGCAGAGTAATGCCAAAATACAAATCACTTTTTTTATTTCGTTGTTTATAAACGATGATTGTGTTGAAAAAAATGTTCACGATTAAGGAAAGAGATATATACTCTTCTCTATACTGTTATTTTTATTCCATTTATATATGGAAACAATTTGATAGATATTAAGATAACGTATATATGTATATGTATAAAGATACGTTTAATTAAATTGACATAAAGAGATTTAATCTAAATAACTAAATGCTGTCAAAATTTATCATTGAGTATTTATCACATATGTTTATCATTGGGAAATACAAAATAGTATTTGAAAAAATGTAATTAAAAATTGTTTTAAACTCTTTGATCTACCCCTAAAAATGTACATTTTTAGATTTTGCAAAGTTTATCGTGTAAAAAATTGATATTTTTTTGATATTGCAGAAAAAATATTAATTGATTGGTCAGATATAATACACATCTTATCTAATGCTATCTTTTGTACATGCCTAAAAATTAGCGGTCTTTTTGTTACTTTCTGATAATAATCTGTTAATCACACAGTCTTGTCTAACATGATATGTTTCTTTTATCACAAGGATAGATTTCTAGTCTTCAGTTTGCACATGCGCTTTATATGCATGATTTTTGTTAAGTTTTTAATAATAAATATTTTTGTTTTGTTTGTTTACATAGAATAATTATTTGCAAAATTTATACCTGAAATAAAATATCAACAGGCGTGTTATATTGCATTTACATTGTTGAATGGGAAATTATAATAGTTATATAATTGTTACTTAGTGTTTGCTGGGGATTGTATCAACTTTTGGATATAACAATTAACTTGCACATATTAGCTACTATCACGAAACTAATTATACGTGCGATTCATTATAAAAATATAGCAGTACAATATATAAATACGTACATATTCCTCACACGTAGTTCTTTGAATATATCATTTGCCCAATGACACATCGACAGAAAAACTAGGCAACCAAGATACATATCTTGAGCCATCGAAGAAAAGAAAGAAATAATTGCTATTTCTTCTCGTAGAAGTCTGTGACTCAGGCGATATTTCTGTATTCTTTCTGTGATTTGCTTGTATACTCAATCTGGTGTATCCTCTCTGTGATTTGCTTGCATACTCAAGGCCAATCGACAAGTGAGACATGGTGTCCTGTTCTAACCAGGATTGCAAGCATGAATTGTGAAATAAGTGTGCACAGGGCAACTTACGAGCGCTTTCCATCCTTTCCCAGCATATTGCGCAATTATTTTATCAGAATTCTCGGCTAATTCCTCTTGTGAAGCCATTGGATAACTAAATGAAAAAGTTATCAAAAAAATCTTTAACAATTTGTTTTTTATATTATACATATAAAAATATAATAAAATAATTTCCTGATTTTTATAAATTCCTTTTTCCATCACATATCACATCAAATCACATCATCACATCAAAATCAAAATCAAAACACGTGCCTAGCCTAGCCAACATAACCCCGCACGCTGCCAATATAGCGGAGTGCCACTATTGCCGTCTGTTGTAAAACGTGAGAACTGGCCATTTCCAATACATGCATCTATTGCATGTGTTGTGTACGTGTGATATACGTGTGCGCATGTGTTGTATACGTGTGAATACGTGTAGCACGATACTACTATGTATGCGTGGTCGATGATGATGATAATAATAATGATGACGGGGACGTTTCTTAAAAGAAATTTTTCATATTTCGACTTTGCATTTATATATCTCTGCTTACAAATCACGTAGAGCAGAAATAAAGACACTTTTATTATATAATTCGAACTCAATCTATCGATTAAGTCTAGTATAAACTCGATTGCTTCAGCCGTTATTGAGGATTCGAAATTTATAATAGACTCAAATGTCCGACTCGCGTTAAGATACACGGTGTCTCGGCTACGCCCTGGTCGCGAGACACTACCGTGTCTCTTGATTCATCGACCACGCATACATAGTAGTATCGTGCTACACGTATTCACACGTATACAACACATGCGCACACATATATCACACGTACACAACACTGCAATAGATGCATGTATTGGAAATGTCCAGTCCTCACATTTTACAACAGACGGCGATAGTGGCGCTCCGCCATTATTGGCAGCGTGCGGGGTTATGTTGGCTAGGCTAGGCACGTGTTTTGATTTTGATGTGATGATGTGATTTGATGTGATATGTGATGGAAAAAGAAATTTATAAAAATCAGGTAATTATTTTATTATATTTTTATATGTATAATATAAAAAACAAATTGTTAAAGATTTTTTTGATAACTTTTTCATTTAGTTATTCAATGGCTTCACAAAAGGAATTAGCCGAGAATTCTGATAAAATAATTGCGCAATATGCTGGGAAAGGATGGATAATTGTGTAATATGCTGGGAAAGGATGGAAAGCGCTCGTAAGTTGCCCTGTGCACACTTATTTCACAATTCATGCTTGCAATCCTGGTTAGAACAGGACACCATGTCTCACTTGTCGATTGGCCTTGAGTATGCAAGCAAATCACAGAGAGGATACACCAGATTGAGTATACAAGCAAATCACAGAGAGAATACAAAAATACCGCCTGAGTCACAGACTTCTACGAGAAGAAATGGCAATCATTTCTTTCTTTTCCTCGATGGCTCAAGATATGTATCTTGGTTGCCTAGTTTTTCTGTCGATGTGTCGCATAATAGAGTATGTGGTAACATCTCTACATTGGCACATACTAATTCCCAAATGGATACTATGGCAAGACAGGTACTTAAGCTTCAATTCATAAAAAGAAATTTGTATATATTAGTTAGCTATATAGCGAAAATAGCAAAAAAATATTCTTTGTTAGTTTCAGCAACTTTTCCCTCGTTATCCTCGCAATGTCATCCTGAAAGATCTTAGAATGACTCGATCAATCAAATGGACAGTTGAATTGAAAGTATACTTGGTGGAGTATTTTAATAACTATACCGCATCATCATTTAATTGAAGAACCACAAGCAGAATCCGTCCCACAGATGCAAACAAGGATGACATATTATGCCCAGTTCTTTGGTCCAAAATTTATGGGATTCTACATTCGATATTCCATTTGCTGATAGGTAATGGAGATACAAAAAATAAAAAAAAAACAGGAAAATATTGTATATTTTATCATTTTTATTTATTGTTAGAAACTTCAAAATATCATCAAATTTTCTTTAGAAATATAAATATTATTTGAACAAATATAAATTATATTAATTTGAAATGCATATATTGGAGATCAGAAATCTTAAGTAAGAGATGAAGAACTTTAATAAATAAAAAACTTTTCATAGTAATCTAGGCATTACTTCTTTTGTAGAATTTATATATATATATATATATATATATATATTATATATAAATATATTTTATATTTCTTTATTATTCTTATAGTGGAAAAGAACCTTCGAGAATCTTGGTGGACGTTTTTTGAAATCATTTACTGTGGAAGATGGTCCTTTCAATGTAGATGCAGAGGCAGTTTGTGGTGCGGCAGATGTGGACGTAGAAGTAGTCTGTGGTGCAACAAATGTGGACATAGAAGTAGTCTGCGGAGCAGATAATGTGGCTGTAGAGGTAGTCTGCGGTGCAGTTAATGTGGACGTAGAAGTAGTTTGCGGAGCAGATAATGTGGCTGTAGAGGTAGTCTGTGGTGCAACTAATATGGACGTAGAAGTAGTCTGCGGAGCAGATGATGTGACTGTAGAGGAAGTCTGTGGTGCAATGGAGGAATTTGCAATTACAGCTGACAGTTGCTTCTGCAAATTATAAATTTCTGCTTGCAGCATCGCAGTTTCATCAATTTCTCCAGAAAAATCTTTTTTTTCTTTTTTTTCTTCTTTCTTTAGTCATTTTTTATTAGATATAAGATTAATTATTAGACGCGTTAATTAACAGCAACTTTCTCTCTCTCTCTCTCTCTCTCTCTCACTCACACTCTCATTCTCACTCACTCACTCACTGTTCGTCTTGTGTACTTATTTAGTACATTCGTGATTAAACATCTATATGCATTAATGTGAAATTTACTTACATTAGTTTACTTGAAATATTCAATCTCTAAAGTGTTTATCTTATAAGATAGACAAAAAAATCTGAGTAAATAATAAGAAAAAAAACAAGGATTATTATTGTCATAATTTTTTATCAATTAAGTTACATTAATGCATAATGTAGTTATATAACCTTATGATTTTAATTTACATTTTTATGTTCTGATCATATGATCTTATATTACAACGATGTGTTACTCGTTTGCATAGAAGAAAACAGAGAGAGAGAGAGAAAAACAACAATAGATATGAAATATCCGACTTATTTAGTACATTGAAAAAAAATAGTTTTTAACTTGATTAAATCGTTCAATTAAATACTATTTTAAAATTAATTAATGAAAGGCTCGTATAAATTAACAAAATTAAACAAATCAAATATAGTAAGCCAACTGAACGAGCAAATAAATAAGATGTAAAAATTTATTAATAGTTAAATAATTAAATTAACATTCCGTTACAGAAACGATATAAATTGTAAACGTTTCGACTGCACTACAGTCTTTATCAATACATAAAAGTTAAATATTAAAATACAAAGTTAAATGTTAAAAATACAAAGTTAGTTAAATATTAAAATATAAAATTAAAACGATTCTTCGCTGTTGACCAATAGATGTGCAAGGCGATTGGTCTGAGATGCCAAGT